CCCTGATAAGTTGCAACAGCCGTGTCCAGTGGTGGTAACAGTCTGTTGTTCCATGTGATAAGAATGCAGGGTCCGTGAGTGACTAAACAATTGGAGGTTTCCTGTTTGATGAAACGCTTGGATGTTTCAAAAGGATTTTTGAATTTTCTTTCCTTCAACGTTGATTTAAAGTTTGTCTTTTTTTTTACCCTTTGGCAGACTATGTATAGAGCATTCCACCCTTTGCTCCTGACTAGTGAAAGCCATGTCGCCAAAGTGGCAGACATTAAACAAAAGCATGCAGAAATTAAGATTCAAAAGTACTGTATACATTAAAGTATGCATTATAATTCTTGCTTAAGTTGGACTTCTTTCCTTCTCATGCTAAAGATAGAGATTTTATACTGTTTCTTTTTATGCTAGAGTTAGAGATTTTATTGTATGTCATTCTATTTTAGTAAAGAGTTATTATTCATTTATCTTGTGCTGTGTGCTCTTCATTCCTACTGTTCTCTAACTTGTGATGCAACACTGAAATCTCTGCATTGTGGGACAAATAAAAGATCTCTTAATCTTAATTAAAATGATCTATTTATTTGTTTTTTGGATGGATGGATGTGTTTCTGCTGCTACTGGACATCTACATCTGTCCTATCTGTCTATCTATCTATATATATGTAACTAATATATCCGTATAGAATAGTCCTATAGTGTTCCATGGCAAATTTCCCCTTATTAAAGTTAATCCTATCTTGTAGCATAGACATACTGTATGGATTCTGATGGAAGCCGCTCCCTTTTGCCTACAGGGTTACTGTCACCGTTTGGATTTATACCGTTTTAGCTGTGTTTTATCAAAAGCATTCATCTTAATGTATGAATCACTCTTTGCAAAGAACCAAGGTAATGGGTAACATCAAACTGAATATGTTCCTGAGAATTATGACAGTATATGGAAAGTATGACTGAAAGTGATGCTGTTTATTTTGGTTCTGTGTAGGCATCAGGTGCAAACTCATGCTGCCATTACTTTTATACTCAAGCCTATTAAAGATGCGTCATGGATCTTGATTCAATTTCATTTAGCTGTAAACTGCGAGTGGAAACTAAATCAATCTTGCCTCTCATATTACCCAAGAGAGAGCTCAGTAAGTTAAAGACATTAGACTTTTTATAGAGTTTCATGTTGGCACAAAAGTGAAAACACTATATGAAACTGTAGCTACTGAAGGGAAGGTGATGGATTTAACCACTTGGGCATTATGAAAGTGTGCGGATACTAAAGAGGTTGGGGATGAGGAGAGGGACAGTGATAACTGTGAGACTCTGCCCAATCCTACAGCTAACTTTACATTACAATTATTAAAACGGAGACGAGCCTGTTAATAAAGTCTATTAATCACGTCAAGGGAGTGGGTTCATCGGCTCAGCCTCTGGAGAGGGTCTCTAATCAATCAGGGAGCCTGCTAATGTATTCATGGGACATGTAAGAAAGGACTGTTTGACAGTGTTCCAAGGAGGAAGGATTTATTAAGTTCTTACTAGTTCTCACAAGTCGAGTTACACGGTGCACTAGCCACAATTTCTATTCATGTAGGTGCCTGTTGCTTCTAATCTATATCTTATATTCATGATTGAAAAGGGAGTGGATTTTTGACTGATAATGTTTTGAGATGTTTGGAAAGCACTGTAAAAAAAGAAAAGACATATTTACTTACATAGTTGACAAAAAATAAGCAATAGTTATTACTTCAAAACTCTGCACATTGCACCTTTCCTGGTCAATAAAGTCAAATATGCACCTTTCATCTCATTCTCTTTGCCTGGAATAGACCCTAACTCATGTATGAAGTCCGTCCAAATATTGAAACTGTCCCAAATATGTCCATCTCATTAACAGTGGTAGGTGAAAGTACGAGTATTGGCATTTGTCAGATATGCTCTGAGTGTGAAGGCACTAGTGTTGTACAAGGCCTCTGCTGTGTCGGCTGATGTCAAGCCATCACTCCGCTGCGATCCTCTCAGAAGACGGAGAAAATGTGTCTTATTAGTTCACACGAGGTGGACAAATTCTGTGCTACACCGCTGACTAATGTACAAAGGCCCACGAGCAGAGTGCTGATGGTTTGCTGGGATCCTGTTAGTGACGTGTGCATAGAAAAGGAGGGTGGGGAGACCGAAGGGACCACATGGTGAAGCAGCTGAAGGAAGTAGAAGTCAGGCAAAACTCTACCCAACCAGAGTTCTTACTCAGGGCTCTTATCACTGTAAGGTAGATCATTTTTTGGGATATTTTAAAACCCTTTTTTCAAGCAACTGTGGTTAAAGCATAACTCATAATAAGGACAGTATGCACAAGATGGTGATTTTCCACTTGATGTTTTGGTTATTTGAAGGCCACAGTAGCATAACTGCACCGTCACACATGCTCAGAGGAGTGTCTAGTGTCTGGTATAAAATCACATGCAAGCAGCAAATCTTTAGACTGTCTCTTTGTGAAATCCATAAGATGTCCCCTGTGTCATTTTCTTCATATTCATTTAATTTGTATCTTGCTTGAGAAATAAATTAAGCAACTGTCATATTATTGTAATTACGTTGAATGACTCTTGAAACACAACTTTGTTTTTGGCATCAGAACATTATGCAATTGAGTAATTTAGCCGTACCTGCTTGTCAAAGTCAAATCTCATCACATGTGAGGAGCTGAGCGAGGCATGGTTAGTACTTGGATGGGAGACCACAGGAATGCCAGAAGCCACTCTGAGGCTACGGCAAGACACCACCCATGCCTGCATGAATCTAGTGTGTGTGTAAATTATATGTGGTGGTCAGCAGAGCCGATGGTGCAGTCTGGCAGTCTCACGCTCTTCCGTCTACCCCAGGGCAGCTGTGGCACACGCTGAGTCAATGAATTCAATATGTCCCTTTAATCGGATTATTTTTGTATTCACTTGAACGCACAATTGCTGTACTCTTTCCACCACTGCTAATCACTTTATTTCTGACAATTCCTAAACTTTATCATTATCATAAAGGGAATGAAGAGAGAGAGACGTATTTGTGGTCAATTTCGATAACATACGTTCTACCCACAAGACATGGCATTATATTTGTATTAAAAAAAGGGCACCTTTGATTTTTTCCCAATGAAAACCTGAATGCCTTCCTTCAAAGTTGCATTTCCATAATTGTCCTGTACCTCGGCTCTGTCTGAAGAAACTAAGGGAACAATGCTGGAACAATCTTTCAGCTCAGTGAACGACAAAGAGAGAAAGAAAAACACTCCAACCTACCAACGCCTCTGCTCCCTTTGGCCTGTCAGCCTGTCGCCCCCGTCTCCACTTGTTGCCTTTGCGCGTCCACTAAAAGAATTCCTCTCTGTATCCTCCATCAACAAAAGCCATGAAATCAGCGCTCTCCCGCTTCTACCCCAAAGAATGTCACTCCTTCTGGGCCTTTTGTCCAACAACTCTCCTCTCCCCTATCCACCCAGGCTATTCTTTAACATGCTGCACTTAGCTTGAATAATGAATATGCTATAACATGGACACAGCTTTTGACCAAAACACACTTTTTTTCTATATCTATCTCTATAACTTGAACCTACAGTGGTTGATTTCCCATCTCTCAAGCTCGTGCTCATGCTAATATACAGGGCCATGTGCACGTATAGGGCGTATGTAAGGGATATAAGGGGCACCGTCAACAGGGTCTCATAAAAGGATTATTCCAGCGCACAAAGACATTGGGCCACTTCTGAGCCCGCAACTAGATTCACAAAAGAGGTGACATTTGCCTGTCCCGGTGCAAGGGGAGGAGGGATGGGGGTACAATGTCCAGGCTGGGGGTAAAAAGGGGAGAAAGAAAAAAGAGAAGGAATTGTAGGAGGAGGTGGCTCCGACAGAAGGCCCAGGATGAGAAAACACAAGTGACCCTTTTTCATGGGCACTCTTTCACAGGCCACGCAGCACAGACCAATGGGCTGCTCCTGTGTTTATTTACTCCACTTATTTGCTTTTCTGATGGCTCCATTGGCTCGGGTCTTGGGAAGGGAAATAGAGCAGAAATACGATGCCTTATGATAGTTTATGGTTTAGCAAATCATCAAAAAAATACATATAAATACTCCACTGCGTTGGAGAATTCAAGGTGATTATGATTTTCCAAAAAACGTATTATGAGGACAACTTTAGGAAAAACCATTATATATTTTGCCTTATGTTTTATCTTTGCTGAAGATCTATGCCTATATTGTTGTTCTATTTTCTTAGCTTCAGCCATGTGTGCATAGGAGTGACTCAGCAATATCTAAGTGGTATTTGTAACAAAAACAAGTACAAATCCAACAAAACAATAGCCTATAGAATCCATGACACTTCAAATGGCTTGAGCTGCATTTTGTTATTGAACTGGCCCAATATATGGGTCCTCATTGATATTCACTTGTAACACAAACTCGCTTCGACACTGCCTGTTGCCCATTAGTTAGAACTAATGCACTTAAGAGAAAAGGACACACCCTGCGCTGGAAACAGCCCCTTGCGCGCGTCGCTCTGAGCGAAATGTTAGCTAATACATTCCATTTACTCTTTACAACAGGGAGCAGGTCGGACATGCAAGGCGACATAAGCAGGCGTGATTACTTTGTTTCTGCCGAGCCATTTTAATCCCTAATTTCATGCAGTGATCCATACGCACGGTGACGCACACGCCACGCGCACAGGGCCGCTGTCCCTTTGGTGTAGTTTCACTCATGCCCTCTTTATGCTACTTTTGTCACATCAAAGAAAACATCTTGCAAACACTGATTGAGGAAATTGCGTCCCTTGCGTCCTTTTCCAGTCAGTTTACAACAATATTCTAGGTCTGAAAATATTCAAATAGGAATCTGTTTTTTTTGTCTTTGTTACTGTACGTGACAATGTTCAGTCCTTAGTTCTGCTCATTTATGGGAATTTCCCTACACAACGAATACAAAACCGTGGGGTGAGAGTGCAAAGAAAAAGACTGGTCTAACATCAAGCAGCTGGCTGATTGCGCTTATTAATATGCATGACGCAGTTAGATGAGGCTCTGAAGGCGGATAATTGATTAGACAGGAAGGCAACACAGTGAGGAGAGCAGCGGAGAGTTCCCGCGGCTGCAGGGGCTACAGGGGCTGCTCCGGTCCCAGCCCCGTGAGGGAGCAGGCGGACACACGCTCCAACTTTGCGCTCACAACATACGCGTTTCCGCAGCCCTGACATGAGTTACGCATTATGGGCAACAATTGGCACATTATAGTGTAGGTGTAAAAAAATAAACAAATGAATTAATTTAACGGAATATTTATCAGTTGAATTTATGACCTGACTTAAATATTTCGTTCAATGTGTTTCAAAGGAAAGGCCTGATGTTAAACTCAACCGAAGAAACATTAAAATGTTTTCCATTTGCATGTCGGTTTTATTTGCATCGCTAAAATTAGGTCATGCATTATGTCCAGATTATTCAAAGGTTTTATATTTGACACAACTCGACAGTTTTGATATCAACTGTTTTTTATTTTATTTTATTTTTTACTTTTCATTGTTGACCACCCTCTTGGAATTCATATTTATTAAAAAAAGAGGACAACATTACTTACGCAAAACATTTATCAAAGCAATGATCAATGCGATGCTGTGATAAGGGCGACATGAGAAACGCCAAGCCTCGGTGCCTGTGCTGGAGGGAGCTGCGTGCACGGCGCATGGTGACTGTAGAGGGAGCTCCAACACAGAGTTTACATGTGATAAGCGCTCGTGCATATGATAACATCACAAGAAGAAAGCAAAGAGAGCAAAGAAATGACGACGTTATTAAAGACGCGTAGACGTTGCATTACAAAGAACGCGCACATGGACAGAATGGAGAGCCCTGTGTGTTGTGTGAAGGAAAAAGAAGGATGCAGAACTACGCTTGATGAGATCTGGAAGTTGCGCTTGTATAAAGCCCAAAAATCATCTTCTGGATCAACTCAAAACCGCCGTGACCAAGCCATAGTGATCCCATAATAACACATGTATTGAGCCATAGTGATAGTTAGTGATATAAGTAGCTATTTGTTCACCATTAATACGGCCTGTAAAAAGCCACATCATTTATAATCAAGCAAAACTGATTAATTATTGGTCTTTAGTATCGGACTTATTTTATTTAATTAGGCTGTAATTGTTGGAGAATGTTGATCCACAAGGTATTATTGAGGCCAAAAGGGGAATAGGTTAAGGATAGGAAAAGTCTTTTAAAAAAAAACACAAAAAAACATTGGGTGACAAACAAAACGTCTTAAAGTTGCAGCAGTTCATTTATTAGCCAAAATATAGACTTTGTACAATTTTGTTCACAAGTATGTACATATTCTCAACTTTATATACAAAACGTTTGAACATCAAATCCTCACAGAACTTACAAAACTGAAAAGGAAGAGGGAAAACTCACAGACAGTTCATACATTATTACATTAGCAGTTTTACACGGGACATGCTTACAATGTATACAGAGATGTTTATAGTTATTTTACATTCCATATTCAAATGAAAAGGGACGAATCGTATATGGGCACATTGGGGTTGTGGTGGAGGAGTAAGAACCACAGTCAGCGCCGTGCTGAGGCCTGGAATCAAATGAGATCTAAAGAAAACACTGTACTAATAATAACTGCATCAAGAGCTTCAACACAAAGAGATAGAAAAGAGACACTTGCTTTGCGAATATGCATCGTACTAATTTGCATGATCACAAACGAATAACAGGGGCCCTGGCAAAAAAATAATAATAAAAAAGAAGCAACCAAATAAAAGCTGGATAAATGTGGCGTTTGAAAATACAAGAATTAAAAAAGCAATATGGCTCTAAAAGAAAAAAAAATCCCAGCATAATTCACAGACAGTGTCTTGCACCTTTGCGTAAAAACTTTTTTTTCATCTTTTTTTTTTTTTACAACCTCTCCAAAAGGCACTAGATCTATCAGAAACAGTGGCAATTCATTTATTATTTCGTAAAAATGAAATAACAAAACAAATAAATACAACCAGATTTATCAATGGGGTGTGAGGATTTTTACAGTTGAATTGTAATATGTGAACCATAAAAAAATAAGCACATACGGACCTCAGCTTCCTCCTCGACCAATTTAGTTTTCGACGCGTAAAAAGCGCTGAATTGTGGTTTGACAGACATTCGAACTCACGCACACGCACACACATTGTAAGCAGTAACACTGTAATACTGGTCTTCTGTGTGGCCTAGACAGACGCAATCCATAGTCAGTCAAAAAGGGCTCTAAAATAATGAGTGGCAAGCAGTGGGGTAGCGTCTTTGTTTGGGCTGATACATGCACGCCTCAGTGTCGGGGACAAGTACCTGTGACTGGAGTCTCTGGACTATGGCTCTTGTCCTCCGTTTGCCTGCTGCTGTACAGGGCCAGGCCTGTGGCTGTGGCCTGGTTTGCCAGTCCCAGATAGTGGTTAGAGTTCAGTAAAGCCAGCTGATGCGCAGAGAACGCTCGGTTTGTCCAGTTCTGAATTTTCCCAACGGGACAAGAAGAAATGAGTCTGTGAGGGGCGATTATGGTCTGCGCCGCGGGCCCTGCGGAGTTAGCTCCATTTATTTGTGGTGGGGATTTGCGTGGATTGTCAGGAGCCGTGGCTGTCTCTGCCAAAGACCAAATCTTTGGTTTCTGAGCAGCTGGGGCTGCGTTATTCTCTGAGGGAGGGGAGCCCGCAGACACCGCGTTGAGTTTTAACGGCTCCCCGTTGGATTGGGCCGCTTTAATGTCAAGTGGGTGGTGGTGGTGGTGGTGGTGGTGGAGACTGTGGAAGTGCTCTCGGTCCACGACTTTATTGTCTTTGCCCATAGCTTTTAGAAACCTCTGCTCAGGCCCTTGTAAATCCTCATAGCCATCCGAAACCTCAGAGTCACTTCTCGCGTCCAGTTTGAGTTCAGAGTGCAGGTCGTCCTGGTCATCCAAATCGTCCTTATTTTCGATGTTCTCTGTGTCAATGTTCTCCAAGTCAATCTCCTCTTCATCTTCTCTCTTGTCGCCCTCCTCCCCTTCATGGTCACTCGAGTAAACATTGCCGTCTTCGTCAGTGCGGTTCCTGGGGGCCCACGTCATCTTGTTTTCCTTCTTGAGTCTCCTCCTGGCGTTGGCGAACCAGGTGGACACTTGTGTGAGGGTCATCTTGGTGATGATGGCGAGCATGATTTTTTCTCCTTTAGTGGGGTACGGGTTCTTTCTGTGTTCGCTGAGCCAGGCCTTCAGGGTGCTGGTGCTCTCCCTCGTCGCGTTCTTGGGTCTGGAGGGATCCCCAAACTGGTATTGGCCATAGGGGTAGAAGGCAGGGTGGTGGTGGGCAAAGCCTGGGTGCTGTACACCTGGGCTATCCTTCAGCTCATACTGAGCACCCTGCAGCAACAAAAGGTACATGTCAACACTGTACGTTTACACTTATAGCATTTATAAAAAATATGTAGTCATAATGATAATAATAATGATAATAGTAAAATAATAACGGCCATATATAATATGATCATAATCATAATAAATCCAAGTAAGTTTGATAACTGCACATTTACATTGACAATTTAAACATACTTCTAAAAAGTTTGGCAGGGAAAAAAAAAAAAAAACGCAATAAGCACTGAGTTTTGAAGAGTATACAATTCAAACGGAGTAACTTTTAACTACAAACTATCATATCATAAAAAACCAAAAAGTTACGCACGAAACAAAGAATACAAACTTTCGCCGATGAGCGCAGCATTGTTTACTTTTGATAACTTTTCTCGCGCTGGCCTTTGGAGAACAAAAGATTCGTTTAAAAGAGCTTACCAGTTGGTTGAAAAGAGATATATCGCTGGAGTAAGGGAGGAAGGCTCCATAGCCCTGCGCCGCGGCAGCAAAGGGAGATCCGTACATGCTGGACAGCACGTTAGAGAGCGCTCCAGACGGACTGAGCTCTGTCCCGCTCCTGGCGTTGCTGGGAAGTCCTTGGCGCTCCGGCGGGTATATGGGCCGAATATACTGGTATCCCAGCTGAGGAAAGGACATGGCTGCCGGTAGAAGAGGTAAAGTCTGTTGCAGTCACACAAAGCAATAGAACTGCCTCGATATCCACTGTTTGCCTAAAGTGAGCGCATGTGGGCAACAAAAGGTGCGCGCGAGACAAGTCTATATTTCCTCCGCAGCGGCCAGTGTAAACGATCCAGTTGCTCCCCTTATTTCTTCTTCTTCTTCTTGCCAGCCTCACTTCCCTATTGATCTGGATGGACTAAGGTCAGGTCCTTACAGATTGCTTTAGATTATTGGGACTCCCTTGCTCAGATTGACATTTCTAGTCGTTTAGAAGCCCCTCCCATTTCTCAAATCTTACCCCTCTCATACGCCACACATCTTTCTCTCTCTCTTTTTCTCGCCCTCCCTCCCTCTGCGCGCAGGAAAAGTGCGCTGTCCTCGTCAGCTCACTTTTGAATTGGGTTTCAATCTCAATCTCATTTTATGCACAGCAAGTGTATTTATTAGCCCAAGTCATATTCTACAATTATTTTTTTGAGGGAACATTTGAAAGGAGGATATACATGTCGAGATCATTCTTTTCCCTCGGTTGTTAAAGTGTTCCAGTTTGCGCGTTTTATTCGATTCCAGGACACGATGATTGAAATTATGTCTTAATGATGTTGTACGGTGCTATTTGGGTATTTTCTGTGTGAGGGTGTCATCCAGAGCCTGTCATACAGAATGTTTTGACGTTTCCCAGTGACGAGGTGTTACGGGCTTTACAGTGCCATGAAAATGATTTTGGTTTTCCTAATTAAAGACTTCAATGGGTTGCGTCGCGTAGCCATTTGACATCAAAGAAACTATAATGATGAGAGCATTATGTAAAAGCATGACACCAGTGTGAAAGGCTGCGGCGATAAGTGTCCTAATAAACAATGAAGCCATCTCACACGGAATGAAGATGTTCTATGAAGGATAAATAATATTACTAATAAGAATCATATGAATAATACAACATATTAATGATAATAATAACAACAATAATAATAATAACAACAATAGTCATTATACACACGAGTAATAATAACAATACATTGTGATATAAAGTGTAATTACTTATGACAAAAAATACTAATACGGATTAAAATTCACAATGCCCAAATGAAATTTCCAAGAATCAATAAATAAAACTTGTTTCGGACACAGTCATAATTCCACTGCAACCCACTTTTAAATCAGCATCTGTTTTGTTAATCGTTTGCAAAACAACTCCGCATTATTTTACGTTCGTGTGGCATAAGTATTAAATGCAATATTAAGGGCGACACCAAATCTCCCCAATCTCACTCACAGTTAGGATAATGCGATCCGGGTTTCCTGGAACTCTCAACTTGTCTAAACCTTTAATCTTCTTTGGAAGCAGATAGTTATCATTGTCTGTGAGGGATAATAATAACTATAATTTCATATACAGAATATACGCCTTGTTTCTGTCAAAGTCCTGCTCTGGATCTGTGTGTGTTCCGCGCCTCGACATCCACTCTAACCCGGATTATGGGGTTATTAATTACACTGGCTTGCTGGTGCCATCCGACCGGAATGGTAATCACCAGTCTACATAGTCAATATAATACACATGCTCGGGCACGCGCACACGCACACGCACACGCCGTCTGCCTAAACAGCCCAGACCATACAAACCTGTGCTTACATTATACCAAGCCCAGCATATAGGAACTAATACAAGACTTGAAAGTTTAGGAAAGGCGAAGAGAAAGAAGAAGAAGCCAGGAGCGCGCATAGCATTGTACGTCTATATAACATAACACAGCCTTCGCCAGGGCAGCCCGTGTAACCGGCGCTCTGGACACGTGTCTCATCCCCCTGACCACGACTGTTTGGCCCCAGCGCGCACACAGACCCCTCCTCTGGCTGATTTATTGCCACCAATCACTTTCACGCCGACGCGGGAAACTGCCTGGGCCATAAAAGCATTAAGACGCGCTGCCTCCTGCTCCTCTCAGTAAACAGCCACCTTTGCTTGACTTCCGCACGCACACGCAACAAACATAACTATTAAAGCTATTATTATTATGATCAGCCCTATATGATTATTGTTATTATTACCCTATTATATAAATACAGTATTATTTAAACCCGTGCGTAAAATGAGGGCGCGTAAAAGTACTCCTGGCGCTAATTATGCAGATGACACAATTTCACGTTCTCCCCATAAGCAAACATGTACACGGGCCATCGCTCAACAGTAGTTCCTTATGCAATACACAGGGCACCAGCGACACGTCTCCAAATGATGAACCGAAGTCTCTGCAAAACACGTCAGATCAAAGGCTTCAAACGGAGGCTCTTCAAATTACACTTTTGGATCGTCTCCACGCACCGCCACAGTGACAGGAATAAGGGGAGGGGGGAAAACGCATATTTAATCACACGTAAAATCAACGTCTAAGTGGCTAATAGACATTGTGTGTTTAGAGAGAGAATAATTAGTCAATACATCATGGTAAAGCAGACTGGGTGTGATTGATGTAGGACAAAATTGATATAAGTTTTCTGAATGGTACCACTCTGCTTTTACACCGACAGTGATAAATTTCTGACCAATTAGAGCCCAACACGTGCAACACATGGAAAATAACTTATTATCAACTCAGGGAGAAGTTTTCTTTAATAACTTTTGGTATTAAAGAAAGTTATTACATCCAAAATGAATCTTCTCTGCTAGGGAATATACATCACTAATGTTGTTAATCAGCAATGTTTCTCAACGGGTTTAAAAACTTAAATGCATGGTTAACCCAGAAACTAACTGCGCAACACATTCACTTTCTAAATATGCTCTGTCAAACCCATGTCCCATTAGGGTGAAATAAGGGCCCAATAAATCTCAGTGTTTAAAGAACAGCGAAGCTTAATCCAGTAAATGAATTAGTTTCTGAAATTAATTGTTCTCAGCAGCAGCAGCAAGTGTACTTTGAAAATACATTTGAAGTTCATTTTTTCCCCTCTGTTCGGATAATTTTAATAGTATAATTTTAATTGCATTACACCAAGCCATTCATGCATAATAAATAGATAGACCAGGCCAAAAGTTTGATTTGCGTTAGTGTCAAAGTGAAACATTTTGGAGCTCACATCATTTGGAAACAAATTAACAGTCAATGGAGTGCAACTTATTAAAGTAGGTTATGACAGCTGGGATTAACACATTACCTTAAATATTTTACAATGGCTCATTATGCACAGGTCAGAGGCTGCTCTTCCAAATGTGAAGGCCCAGTTGCTCCTTGCCAAATCCACGAGCCACTGTCTTGTATGTATTATATGCTTGTAACACCCAAAGATAACACATTTTGGAGTTAGGAGTGCAATTAAATGGAAAAGTATGGAATGTTTTAATTCACGAGACATGTTTTTTTTTACTATATGCTTGGTCATATTGAACGCAACCACTAGGGGTCATCGCCTAGTGTAATTGTGCCTCCCACAAGCCAAGATAAATGGTAAAGGTAGAGACAGGATTGGCAGCTGTGTCGCAACAAAACTGGCTAAAAATGTGATTGTGTTTTTCACTACCACTTGCATATTTCCCTGGAAACTTTTTAAGCCTTGCACAGATTGAAGTAAAATGAAAAAAAATAATAATAATAATAATGTTGTATGCATGCTTTTACCTTAACTATCTACTCAGAAGAGCGATGACTTCAGCATGTGTTGTGATCTTAAAGTGCTTTTACGGGGCAAATTTGCACTCAAGGTGTGTTCCAGCTTCCTGCCTGCACACTCCTTTTTGCCCCATCTGCTGCATTTTTCCCTGTATCAGTAACACAAGGCATTGATTTTACGGTAAAGTCACTTTGTAAAGGGAATGAGTAACTCTGGGCCTCACTATCACTGTATTACACGGGTATGGGCCCATGTAACAAGATGAACATTGATTCAGCATTACGGATGATCAATAATGAAATAAGTAACTTCAGGGCCAAATTAAAATGCAAGCGAGGTTGATGCTGCAGACTGTGAGGTGACAGCAGGGGAGAGGAGAGAGGAGAGAGGGAGGGAGGGAGGAAGCGAGGGAGGGGGAGACAAACACAATCAGGATGAGGAGAGTCAGTGAGGACAATGTGAGATGTGCTATTATATCAAAATGTGAGTTAGAAAGAGTTGTATGGAAGCTGTTACTTTACGGCAACGGCTACAAGGCTACGGTGAATCTAGCGATGTATTTGTTTCAAGTAATGTTGAGAAGTAATGCACAGAGAAGGCATGTTTACACAATTTGTACTGTATTTGGTTAACCTAACTTTCAAACCACAACTAATGGAACAATGTATTACAATCCATCTAATAATAGTTTTACAACGCTCTCTCTGTTCGGACAAATTACACAGATTACACAGAAAATAGTAAGTTAGCTAACCCAGCTGAGTTACTTTTGTATTGGGCGGTATTCAAAATAAATAAAACAATGCTTTACTATTGTTTGAGTTTCAAAGGGGTGAGACCAAGAAATTCTGAAAAGTCCAAAAGACAAAAGACAAAGTGTTTCTTAAATCTCATCTGGTTGTAAATAATCTCTGAAAATTCTTATGCATAACAGCTGTTTTGATACATATATTTGTTATATATAGTGACAATGCATGATATGAAGATATTGTGACATTTTTTAAAGAATCCCAATACAGAAACACGTGTATTTAGTTGCACAATGTTAAATCCAGATATTCATTGTATGACTGGTTGCTATTTTGTCATTCATGTTATATGGCCTTATGCAAACACATTTGCATCCAATCAGTCAAAAACTAAATACAAACACTTTGTATACATGGATTAAATAAGAATAAACATAGAACAAATACATCTATTTTCTTTCACTCAGCAAACGCAAAAACACAACTATTATTTTTTATTTTTTATTTATACTTTATTAAGGACTCACATGCAAGCACAGGATCCATAGCTAAGAATAATTAAAGAAAAGTTAAAAAAAGACAAATACATAAACACACATAGTAATCACATATTCA